TACTATAGTACTTAGGTTTGAGCTTCATTGCTGGAATGCTAGATGGCGTTAAAGTAGTCAAATAGCCAGATGCAGAGGTATTATTGGCTAAACAATTTCTTTATTTTATTTAAAAAATCATTTTTTATTAAATAAAAAGTAGCCTATAACCATTCGGGGACCACTAAGAATATGTATACAAATTTTCATGATGATCGGTTAAGTAGTTTTTGCGTGAAAGTGTAACACACATCAGGACTTTCGCATTTATAATATTAGTAGGGATTATTCAACGATTTGAAACAAAGAAAAACGCAAAAAATTAAAACAAAATCATTTTTTTCCATTTTTTTTGTCTTAAAAGGCAAGTTTTCTACGGTTTTGAAACACAAACATGTGATATTTTAAACACAGATGGCCAAAACCGTGACTAAAGTACTTTAGTCACGTGCTTTAGTCACGGGTGAAACTTGCACCATATGAATTTATTATAAGGTTATGTAATTTGACATAACCTATAACATCGTAAACTTCATAATTTTTAAGTGTATAAAATGCAGTATTATACTACGTCATAATAACAATCATTATACCCTTGAACCAAAAAAAAAAAGTTTATTTTCAAAAAAACTTTAAAAAACAATTTTTAAATTAACAATGCATTCAACTGTTTCTAATTAACTCCTCATTGAAATATAAATACCTCCTAATGAACTTTTGTCATTCATTATTCTCTTCATTTATTATTTCAATTTTTTTCTTTTTCACTTTTCAATCACTATACAAATTACTTACCTGCGTATCGAATCGTTTCGTTATAAATACTCAACGCGAGGAGCGGTTGAAAATTTTTGGTTTCGTAATCTTTGATTAGTCCAGTCTCGTGTCTTACGTGCGACGAACATTTTGCAATCGACGTATTGAACATAAATTATAATTTTAACGAACTATTAACGTATAATTTAAACGTAAATAATTTTAAAATGGAAAGAGCTGAAGATCGAGTTGCAAAAATGTTTGCTAACAAAGTTATTCTCATAACTGGTGTCACAGGATTTGTTGGAAAAGTGCTTTTGGAAAAACTATTGAGATCATGTCCTCATATTAGGAAGATTTATGTTATTATCAGGCCCAAGTATAAGATGACTTCGGAGGAACGTTTGGAGAAGATATTTAAATCAGCGGTAAATATTAATTATAAAATTACTAACAAAATAATTATTTTTATGGGTTATTGACGTATTATATGCCAAATATGTTAATAATATTCTCAGTTTTTATTTAAAAACAAGAAAAATGTTATTTATTAACAGTTTACGTCATCTAGATGCAAATTATGTAACTAAATCTATCATAAAATCTCTATTTAAATTTTCAACTCTTATATTTCACCCTTCCATTTAATTTTTTGCATCAAAAAGCAGCATATTTTAATTTCCATAGTCCTAGCTATCTCCATACCAAATTTTATCAATATTGGTCCAGTGGTTTTTGCCTGAAAGCGTAACAAACATACTTATTATATCAAATATTGCTTTTTCTTTACTATTTAGTCCCTAAAACACTTATTTTGCAGTTATTTGATTTATTTAAACAAAATCCATCATCACACCAACAAATATCTCAAGTGTTCGCCATCCAAGGCGATATCTCAGCCACGGACCTCGGTTTGAGTGCCACTGATCGCTTTAAGTTGCTGTCTGAAGTAGATATTGTGTACCATTGCGCTGCGCTCCTGCGCCTGGACGAGAGCCTGAAGACCTCGGTGTTGATGAATGTGCGAGGTACAAGGAGCATGTTGGAGATGGCTAAAAACATGAGTCATTT